ATTCCTTTGTCTGTAATACAAAATCTTTGCTTAGTTTACTATATATATATATATATATATATATATATATATGCACCAGCCAGCCAGCTTTAACGCATTTGTCGTAAAGTTTTATTTCTATATTTAAAGTGGTAGAAAAGTGTATGCTTATGTTCTTCGCATTTATAATATTTATATATATGTATCCTTCAATTATCATTCTCATTATAGATAGTTTTCCCAACTACGTATATAATTTATAACGATGGGATTTCATACCTGCCAACTTTTAATCCTTTCAAGGATGATAATCCCCAGTGGTACTAAAATAAAATTTAAATTACAATTTTAAGCGGAAATATTCGTTGTATTTTGAACAAGCTTATGCGGATTACTACATCAGTATTACATATTAATATATATAATTAATTTTTTTGAAAATAGTGGTGTATCAAAAATATTATAAATTAAATTTATAAATGCAAGAAACATATAGAAAGCATAGATTTTACTACCAATTTAAATATAGAAATAAAATTTTACGCCAAATGCGTAAAAGTTGGCAGGTATGGGATTTTAATATTACTAACACTTTGTATTATTATGATCAAATGCGTATCCTAAAGTGCAAATAGTTTCATGCCTTGATACTTAGCCTGTGCTATGACTTCCTTACTTGACCTCGTCCACTTTTTCTTCTGATTACTACTTAATCTTTTAAAAATTCATGACTTCTCAATACATGACATGAAAGTTTCGATGAATCGGTCAGTGGCGCTAGACATCCCCCGTTCCCTGCATCCAGCTTCCCAGATTTGTTAGATATGATTTAAATTTTAATCAGGTTTACAAATTTGATTTATTATAGTTTTGATCATCTTTACAGATTGATTTAAATTGATATAAAAAAATTTCCAACAATATTTATTAATACCCGAGCTAAATTTGGATCGACCAATATAAGGAGGAAGTCAATAAACTCTAATGAAGTTATTCCATTTTTTTATGATGGATAAATTTTTATGATTGAAAATTATAGTAGATACATATTGTACACAGCGCGTGTGATGAACTGGTATTCCACTGACGTATCAAAATAATTGCTTTATTTCAGCAACGATGACGATTATAACATTAAACAAAAGAAAATAGTTAGGATGATACGCCTAAGATAGAAATTAAGAAATTCATCTCTGAATACGACGGAAATTTTTTTTGTAAATTGATAACTGCTGAACGGGAGGGGGGGGGGCGAAACTCCCCTACCTCCAGTCCTAACGCCAAGAATTTAAAATTAAAAGTGATTGAATTATTCCCAACGGATAGTTAGGAGCATGGGGAGAGATTCATAGTAGGCGATTTATCAAGATATTTTTTTTTATTTCCAATGGCCAAGGTTACAAAAGACAACTCACCACAAAGCACAGTGGGCCAGCATCCAAGGTTTCGTGGCCAAAATTAGTATTTCGATAAAATTTGTTTCAAAATTTGGGGGTTTTTATTTAGGGGGTTTTAAGTGCAGGTAAATTGAATTCATAGTTGAAATTTTGAAATACACTAAAAATACCCATAAAAAACAAAATGGCGGCTGAAATATGGCGAGCAAAAATTAAAAAAATACTATAGTGCGTTTAAGTAATTAAATATAGCTATTAAAATGTAATAATTTTCGTAATTTTACATTAAAAAGGACAAGCAAATTATATTTTCGAAGTAATATTAGAAAATAACAGGAATTAATTACAAAATAATGCGAAAACATGAAAAAAAACATCATTTTTGTTTTTCGGTACATTTAGTCCACCTTTGTAATACGGGCAAAATGGGGCAGGTTTTTTCGAACGAAGAAACATCAAAGAAGACAACAAAAAAAAGTTTAGCTTATTACCTCGTGGAACTTTTTGGAACTAAGTTTCGAAAGTTATTCAAACATTGTAAAATGTTAAATAATAAGATATAAACTATAAGTTTGTCAAGAATATTAACTAATACAACAAATTGAAAAATTGTACTATAATTTCAGACTAATTACTCTGATAAAAAAGTAACAGTAAGGTGAAATTCTTATATATGTTTCTGAAATAAAAATTTAAAAGTTACATTTTAAAAAAAATTTTTAACATATTTTTCATTACATTGTACTCACGGTCCAAAAAGTAAATTATAATGTGTGGAATGATTATGAATACTTAATTTGGGCTATTTTAAAACTGCCTACACATATTTTAATTAAAATTTAATTTTTGACTTTTGGCCAAAGATCATGGTCTTCTGGCACACAGTGCAAAGGGAGGAACAACAAAATAAACAAACACAAACAAAAACAAACGTGTCAAGAAAAGTTTATGAACCCAATAAGTCTCTTGCGCTCCAGTAACGGTCACACAAAGAGATGAGTGCCGGGCAAAAGACTAAGGTGGTCTGCATCCATCTCCGCTTGAAGGTCACAGAGCGTACAGAAAGGGGCTTGAGCAACATAAATTCGATGGAGATGTTTGAGGAGGTAGTCGTGTCCGGTAGTCAGTCGACACTCAGCAACTGCCCTACGTCTTGGCCACATAGGATAAGATATAAAATAGCATATCAAGATATAAAATAGCAAAAAACAAAGCCAACCTCGTGTAATCAACAATAAATTTAAATAATTTGGCCATAGCTTAATGACCAAAGAGACCGCGAGAATTGATATAACCCTGCAACTGAAAATTTTTGTATAGAAATAAAATTACTTAAGGAATAAAGAGTTAAAACTAGATTTTGATGTTTGATTGAGTTACGACAGTGAAATAATGAGTGATTTGTATTGAATTAAATAGCTAGCCGATATATTGACTGTTAAGAAGACAATAAAATATTTATTTTTACTTTTTATAAAATGTAATAAAAATTGAAATTTTTTTTAATGTAATTAAAATTAGATTTAGAATAATGAAAAAAAAATTATGAAATTAAAGAAATTTTAAAATCTAGGAAATATGTAATGCCTATAATAGCATCACAAATAACTTCTTATAATCTTTAATGCGAACAATTTTAAAATCATTCTGCAGGATTGTGTTATTTATGTAAGTATGAGTTTAGAATTATTGTGGCTTTAAAAAAAGGAAAAACACTTTAAACTACCTACTCTCATTTTAACCAAGGTAAATTTTGGAGTGGTTAAGAGGACACTATTTACACTATTTCTAAATACTTCAAGCATGATCAATCAAATTGTGCCAAGAGTTTCGCCATGTTAAATCTTGCAAAACATTTGCAGCTAAAAGAAAAATTGTTCACATAGAGTTAGCATTAAAGTGTTCGTATTATTTTGTCACTCATCTGTATTAGAATATTTTCTCATTTATTAAATAGAACAAATATTATTTAAAATGGCGGTAACTTATGAAATTATATATTTATAGGTGCCAACTAGTCCTAATATTGCGGTTCAATTGTGTACCTGGTTCGCGATTACCAATAAAATTTTGGTTTGAGCCGCGATGGCTCAGGGGATAGACCGTTCGCCTTCCAATGAGGTGAACCGGGTTCGAATCCCAGTCGATACGAATTCCGCATCCGGCTTGCATCGACAACAGTGCTGACGTGGAATATCCTCAGTGGTAGACGGATCATGGGTTGGAGTCCTTGCCATCAGGCTAACCGTGAGTCTTCCTCTCCACGTAACGCATATGCGGGCTAGTTTCATCAAAAAGTCCTCCACAAATGCAAATTTCTCCCAATACTCGATCCAGGAATTCCCCTGTCTTCTGGATTGGGTTCAAAATTACAAGGCTACGGAGTTGAACATTAGCAGTCGTAAGCGTATAAAATTTGGGTCGGCTGTTCAACGACGGTTATAAAAAAAAAATTTAAAAAAATATTTTTTCTTCAAGAAAGTGTTACCATTAACTCGTGGTAAGTCACAATACTATTGTATTTTTGACTTAAAACAATGATGTGATGGTAAAATTTAGCCCCTTACTCGAAAAATGGGTTGTGTTATTCTAATAGACAAAGGCAATAATAACAATAAAAATTGCACGACCATTTATTCAAAGCAATTGTGAATTTACACTCTGTATATTTAGTAGCTAAAAAATTTATCGAAAATTGTTAACAACTGAAAATTGTAAAGAAAAAAAAATGAAGGAGCGAGATTTCATGGCAGAAATACGTAGTTTTTGTGATGCTCATTTTGGAGGCAAAATTTCTTTATTCTTCAATTATTTGCTCTTTAATGTAGTTTCCGCAATGATTTATGTTATTAAATATTACGACGCATTCAAAACAGGATTAATTTAGTAAACAGAGATACGAGCTTGATTCGCAAAGTGAATAATTTAAAATAAAGATTTTCTCCTTGAGGTTTGGCGAGCATAAACGAGTAGATGGAGTCTACTAGTATAACTATATTTTAATCTGAATCAAGAAGAGTATTGGTTAACATTATAAGCTGTTGATTTAGTTAAGAACACATGCTCAAACACTTTTCATATTTCATAAGGGTACTTTTATCACCATTGCAGAGTTGCGTTTACACAACATAAGAATGGAGTGGGTTAACAAAACAGATAATTTTGCTGTCCGTCTTTACTTTTTCTTCATTAATTTTCTTTTTATAATTTACTGTTTGTCTTTTCGTCTTAGGTAAAACAACCCGAAAATACAAAGTTAATATCTGTAACACAGACGGGGGGCTGTTAAAATAGTACTTTTATTGCTCAAAAATCAATGAAATATTAAGCCCGCATTTGTCAATTTTGTAAATTCTCTTGGTAACAAAAATAAACGAATCACGAACTCCTGTCTTATGCTTACGTAAGAGCATTGCAACAGCACCTCTCTTGTTTATTTGTTTAATTTTAACTTTTTATACAGTAATTTAATTTAATTAAAAGATTTAACTCTGCAGAAAACAAATTTTAAGTTTTAATTTGCTTTTAAAAATAAATATTAAAAAAACTTTTCAGTAGACGGTTAGGATTTTTTGTTTTCTCATTTTTTCTTTCCACCTATATTTCAAGCTTGAAATTTAACCAAAAATAATTTTTCCATTTTTTTTTACATTTAAAAACTGGAAAACCAGGAAATTTTAATGTATTTTACGAGGCCTTCCTCCCCTCTTGTCAGCAAAGATAAACAAATCACAGACACACTTTATTTGATGTTTACGTAATATTTGAAAGGCCCCAAAAGCGTTAAGCTGACAATTGTACAGCATATGACAGAAGAGTCCATACTTGTGATTTCTGACATGTGTGATTTTTCTCATGAATTGCATAGCTATCAAAATAATTATCTCTTAAATGCCCGTACATAAATATGAGATTGATGCATATTATCTTCCTTCACTAACACCAGTGAAGGAAAAAGGCTGGGGAAAAAGTATTTCATAATGGCTTACTGTTGGGCCTTAATGTTTGTTGGTATTTTATATCAAAGTAAGTTCTTTTGCAGTTTTAAAATTATTGATATAGCGTGTATGTAAAAACCAATCTCTTTAATGAAGGTTAAAATAAATTTAAATTTTTGTTTCAGTTTTTATGCTTAATTTCTTGATGCACAATGTATTAATTTTGTTTCATTTCATAACTATACCAGGCATAACCCATTAACTCGTCCGCACGAACAGTACTTTTTAAAAGTTGGTTCTTTTTTTTCAAAAAGTAAAAAATGCTAGTTGATGCGATACATATTTAATATTCAATTTAAAGGAACACGATGGCTTAATCTACAATATATAAATAGTAAAAACATTCATAATAGAATCAAAGAACATCATATGTAGACCGGGCCTCTCTGGCCAAGCGTCTACCCGTTTCAGGTTCGAACCCCGAAGCAACCCTGAATTTTATTTTCGTTTATGTGCTAATGCCCAGCCACAAACAGTGATTATATGTGAAAAAAATTTTAACACTTATTTTTCATACCAAGTGATTGCTTCTATCTTTCATCTCTCATTTCAGATTTTTTTTTTTTAAAAACCGCTCTTTGACAATAAGCCCATAACCAAAATATTTCTATCATTAATATTTAGATATCTAAGTATTTCAGTTATTAATATTATCGTAAGCAATTCAATCTCGTTTCTGCAAAATAAGTCTTAAAATGAAACACTTAATCTACCACATTTTTGCTTTTTGAAATAAGGAACTCGTCCTATTTGCTAATGGAGTACACTATACTCTGTTGCAAGTTAAGCAAAACCATTATCGCTATGGAGAGAACCTGTTTACATCTAAGTGCAAGCCAAATGTATGCTAAGCTCCAAGCACGAACGAATTTTAAGATAGTCAACTTTTAAAACGACGTTGCACGATCTTTTTATTGCTTCAGGAATAAAATTCCTTTTCGACGAGTTTAACTTTTAAATGCTTTTATATTGTCTTAAAAGCATTATTATATAATTTGATAGCTAAATAAAACGGAACAGTATTCAATAGCGGATGATTACTTAAGTCCTTTACCGCAATGGAGTTTTCTTAACTTGCAACGGAATATAGCTTGAATATCTAACTAAAAATAAATCATTTAGTGCCGTTTCAAAGCTGAAAAAGGGTAATACCCAGAGATATATATTTGGTTTAAAATTACATGAACTACTATTTTTCATTATTACTTTTTAATAACTACTCATGATTATATGATGATTTATTCATTTATTTCTTTTTACACGTGTGTTACATAAATACCTGCAAAACGCAATTAAAATTCACTAAACAGCTATTCTAAGCTTCAAATTCTTAAAATTGCTAAAAGAAAAAAGTCTGCTTCCCAATTACTTCACATTGCGTTACCTTTGTTAAAACTTACTTGAATAAAAATTGCATCTAATATAATTTTGCTCTGCTATATATAATTTTTTAACAATACATTACAATTACATGTTATACAATTAATTAACAATACGTAACCTTTGTCAAAACTTATTTGAATGAAAATCTATCATCTAATACGATGTTGAATATCATCTAATACTATTTTATATAGTTTCAAAAAAAACTTTCAATTTTTACTTTTTATTTTTTTGAAGTTTGTTCAATTTTTTAATTATTCTTGCGCTATATAATTTTAATTTTGCATCACATTTTAGAATTCATATTAGGCAGTTTTTAGTAATGAAAAAGCTCCTTTAAATTTTAATCCAGCATACAATTAATAGATCTTGTAAAATCATAAATATCTTTCCGGGTATTGGCCCGTATACTGGGAATTTCTCATAATATCTACATGAAAGGATTTAAGAGATGTCAAGAAATCGAAAAAAAAAATAAATAAAAAAAAAAATGCACTTCTCTCTTTTTAACTTTCCGTATTTATTTTAACATTACAACTTCTATGAAAAGGTTAAATAGCTTTAATGTTTCCGATAGTATACTCGATTTTTTTCATGTATTATTTTAATTCAAAAAGATCTGACGATTTCAATTGAAAAAGACATAATAATTTCAATAAATATCATTTTGTATTAATTTTTCTAAACCCCTCTTTTGTTTGAAAACAGGTATCTTATGAGCAAAACTAACCCAAAGCAAGCTACTGAAATTATAAAAAATTTATAGCACACTTTTTTTTTCTTCTTTTTTTTGTTATTCGAAAGCATTAGAGAGAGTAAAAATTACAGCGTAAATAAACGATAAAGTAGAGAAACAACAATTTCTCCCAAACTTTGCCTGCTACATTTTAGCCCTAAATTTAAAAGAAATTACGTATTAATAAGGAATAATTTCTTATGATTACTTTACGAATAAGTTGTGTTCTTATTCATTTATACTTACTAATAAGATGGATTTGAAAACATAAATTTTGATTTTAAAATGAATAAAATGGAATAATCAGGATTGAAATGTTGATTGAGTTTGAGAATGTACTGATATGTGTGATTTAATTTTCAGAAAAAGAAGAAGATTCTAAAAATGTATTTATACACTAAGTAAAATAATGGTTAGTCCAAAAAGTGACACACTTAGCTTCGTATAATTATTGCAAAATGTCCTTCTTTATCAGGCTTTTCTGTGGAACCACAATAAACAAAAGTATTTTTAGATTTTTGGCTAAAAATTATAGTATCGATTTTCTTCAATTGAAATAACAAGGAGAAACGAAAGTTTGAAAATACTCTCTCTTGATTCGCTCTACATTCATCTGGTAAAAATTATCGCGATGTGTGCGTTCTATTATGTTTCATTTTTAAGGTATTTAAACTTTCAGCGGATTGCCCGATTAATTTTTAAAAAAAATTCACTTTCACATTATTGTATGAATGATATTAGAATACTCATTTTATTATTATTCGAATTAATCCGATTTAAATTCATTATTTTCAGATGCTTGGGCCAACCCTATGGAAAACGAAGGTAAAAATACCACTTTCCCCATACTAAATTTATATTTTTATTTAATAATTCTTCAAGTCAGTGAGTTCTAAATTTTCATTATTTTACAGGCTTATTTGAAGGTGATATTGCTGGTATCGACCCTTATGCATTAACGGTAAGAGAGTTGTTTCCTGATTGCATTTAGTCTCTTTTTTAAACAAAATTTTTTTTTTTATTCATAAACCTGCCTGCTTGCCACAAGGACCATCAGAGGTTGTCTGCTCTCTAATATTTTTCTTCAAATAAATCGTAAATCAGAAAGTAATCACATCTTGTCCAGTTAAACACGAAATACACACATTTATTAAAACAATATTTGATGTATTTTTATAATATTAAACCTATGTTAATGGGCTCTGATTATGAATAATTAACTGCGATGGCATTAACGGCGAGAAAAAAAGAGGTCTGTAGATTACTATTTCCGATTAATTTTCACACTGAAACCTTATTACCACTATTAAAACTTTCAAGAGTTGTACTTATGTACTGTAGAGTTATCTACACCATATTACATTAAATCACAAAACATGTAAAAACATAAAATGTGTTTAAAAAAACATGAAACAAGTTAAAAATATAAATGACATTTACTGGCTAGTAGGCTTTTTTTTTAAACTTTTTTAATATTTTAAAAAATGATATCGAGTATAAATCAAAATAATCTCATGAAAAGATAATTCGATGCTAAAACAAATAAATAATTAAAATGAGCGCTAACATTCAAAAAATTACAGGGCATTCATTTTATTTATTAATTTTTTCAGATATTTTAATTTTAATTTAAGTCTCCCAATCTGGTGAAATACATAACACTTGGAAAAATCTTTTAACGGTAAACTTATGTGGACGATTCCATGAAAATAATTCTTTGTCAAATGCTTGTTGTTGTTGTTGTTAATTTACGTCGCACTAGAGCTGCACAATGGGCTATTGGCGACGGTCTGGGAAACATCCCGGAGGATGATCCGAAGACATGCCATCACAATTTTGATCCTCTGCGGAGGGGATGGCACCCCCGCTTCGGTAGCCCGACGACCTACGCGCGAAGTCGAGCACTTTACGGTAGCACAGTTTAACGAGGACCCATACCGCACACCCTCGGTCCCTACGCAGACTGATCCAAGTGGTCACCCACCAGTCAAATGCAAACACTGACAGCTGCAAAACGAATTAATTCAATAAATTCAATATTAAATATTTTTTAATATAAAAAAGCTGTGAATTAAAGTTGTCCTAATTGAACTTTTGAAACATTTGCTCGGTATACCCATCCACTAACACTTCTAGCCTGTCTTATAAAAAGGTCATATTTTTAAGTATAGATGTCAGCAGCATCTACAATCTGCAATCAGTTAAGCTTTTTAAAAATAGCCCACCTGCATCACGATGTGTGGTGTGGATGGCTTGACCGAGGCTTAACCGCACCAGATGCGCAGCTGCCAACTTTCTATGCTTTTTCGTAAAACTTTACACTAGTGGAAGCTAAGTTAATGTTTTAATGTATTATTTTTTATTCATTTAAGCTTATTTTTCACACCACCACATAAATGATTTAAAAGCTCATAAGCAACGCCACTTTTTTCCAGTTCTCTCGTAATGAAGCTATTAAAATTTTGGCAAAATTACCCAAAAGTTTGACAGCTTTGGTATTTAAATGTCTACCACTTTGCAAAATATCTTGCAGAAAGCGTAGTTGTTGGCAGGCCTTCAGATGCGATTAGCTCCAGCCAAGCTTATGCATTTTCACGAAAGCTCACGCTTAGTTTAGCTAATTACAATTGTAAAAGCAATTTTGTAATTTGTGAGCTAATCTGATTCAAACAATAGCAAGCAGCAAAATTTTTTAATATTATGTTAATAAAATAATCAAATGCAACGAAATATTTAATGGGAAATTTTTTATTTACTTTTATTCAAACTTGATTTTTATTTCAGGATCGAAATGCTGTTGTTGATCCTGCAGAGTTATGGCCAGATGGTGTTGTTTATTATGAAATTGACTGGAAATTAAGTAATTTGTCTAATTGATCGATTAATTGCAAAGATCGTCTTTGTCAATTTATAGATAAGACATTAATAGATTATACTCCGATATCGGGATATGAGATGATATGCCGTTTCCAATTACAATATTGGCTTATGAATTTTTTGCTTTTTAAATACTTTCTCATTTTGATAGCATTGGATCATTTAAGTAATAATTTTGTCAAAAAATTAGCAGTTATAATGAACTGTTAATTATGTTAACTATTATATTGTTAAAATTAACTATTTTTCTGTTAATTTAGATATAAAAATTTACTAATAAAAATTGACCTCTAGTATAATGGTCAATAATATGTAGAATAAGGAGCGCAGAATATGTAGTTTTAGAACATACATAGGATTCACTCCAGGCAAACAAATACAAATTTTAAACAGGGATGATACGACAATATTTTTATATGACAAGATTTTAAAGTCAATAATCTTACAGCTGTTCGATCCCTAAACGCTAAAGTGGTATTTTTAACAATAAATTTACACGAGGCAATTTTTAAAAATTGATGTGATAATGAAAGTGAAACAAATGGCAATATTTTTATATAGAAAATTTTTAAAGTCAATATTCTTAAGTCTGTTCGATCCGTAAACGCTAAAGTGGTCTTTAAACAAAAAATTCCTATTCGCGAATGTTTTCCGATTTTAATCATGTTCTTTTTTACAAAGCTACCCAATCTCCTGACTTTTCCGGAAGATCTTTCTCTTTTAATAATTATTTCTTAAGTAATAATATATGTGTTAATATTTTTTATCTTCATTTAACAAATTTGATTTATGATTGCGTCCACAACTACATATAAATAATTTGAATGAATATAAAAATCTCTCTTAAAAATAATGAGTATTAATACATAGATAAAATAATTCCCACTTATAATTAAAACTTCACTTGTTATATGGCTACCATTTCGAAGAATTTTAACAAGATAGTCACACATTCAAATAACATGTTTATAACTTGAAAATGTACACGCATTGTATTGAGAAATTCGGGTTTTTCCATGAAAATTTTATTTCCATATTTAAAGTGGTAGCGAAAGAAATATTATTCCATTAAACGTTTTGAATTACAATTATAAATGAGTTTGAAAAACTACTACACATAATTAATTACAACAAATATATAAAGCATAAGTCTTTACGATAGCGAACTTCAATTTGGTCAAAATACAAAAATATTTTTGAGTAAGATTGTTTTTCGGTAATTGTTTTACTATCACTTTGAAAATCCATTCTCGGTAGGTAGGTACTTTATTTACATCGCACTGGAGCTGCATAATGGACTATTGCCGACGGTCTGGGAAACATCCCTGAGGATGATCCGAAGACATGCAATCGCAATTTTGATCCTCTGCAGAGGGGATGACTCCACTGCTTTGGTAGTCCGACGACATGAGTGCAAATTCGAGCACTTTGTCGTAGAACAATTTAACGAGCACCGATATCGCGCACCCTTGGCTGATCAAAGTGGTCACCCACCCGCTTACTGACTCCAGCGAGTGATACTTTACTTCAGTGTTCTACTGGGAACCGTATCTTAGCAATCAGTCCACTGCGGGGCCAATTCTCGTAAAGCGTGAAAATTGTCAGGTACGCTTTTGTAATTAACTGCTAATGTATATTAAGTAAAAAAATATCCGCTTCAGAACATTTACAGGATTCCCACGAAAGTCACAAATTTTAAATAGCTGTATGGAAAGTTAAACAAACATAGATATTTTTATAGAGTGTTAACCATTTTGTTATTTTAAACAGTTATAGATTTTTTTAGACTAGTGAAAGCCTTTTCCCTATGATTCGATTAAAATTGTTTACTTACAGACCATATATTTAAGTGGAGTAGGAGCTCTTAATTTTAAAATATTTTGCACTTTATATAAACGCTATAACGTTTGTTTTTATTATATACAAAACTGGAGTATTATCTGTTCTACATTTTGCACTTTTTATAAACGCTACAACGTTTGTTTTTATTATACCGGTAACTTCTCTTTTTATAAGCGCTATAACGTTTATTTTTATTATACCGGTAAATACACAAAACTGAAATGCTTTCTGTTCTCTTTTTATAAACGCTACAACGTTTGTTTTTATTATACCGGTAAATACACAAAACTGAAATGCTATCTGTTCTCTTCTTATAAACGCTATAACTTTTATTTTTATTATACGGGTAAATACACAAAACTGGAACGCTATCTGTTCGGAGAGTCCCAGGAAAATTGGTGGTTGAATCGTAAAGACAATTAAGTATAAGATCGTTTCTATCATTTTCCAGTTCTTTTCATATGATAGTTCTTTGGTATAGTAATAATAATAATTTTGTGAATAATACTTGCTTGTATATTAACCTCTTCGAAACGAGCCAGTCATATATGCATTCTCAGGAGGGCGACAATCAAGGTAAAAAGATAAAGCTGGTAACTAAACCATTTCTTAAGAAGTTTATTTGTAAGTAGGATATTAAAAGTTTGGTTTGTTTAATTCGCCACAACTTAGTTCAAAATAAAAATTATATACTTTGAACTAACGTTGATTAGATGTGTTAAAATTAAAGTGAAAGTAAAAATAAATCTGTCAATTTAGCTATGACTATACATTTCAGCTACCGTTTTTTTTTCCATCCGGATTCTGATTCTGTACGAATGCGTTATTCTGTACGATCTAGTTTATATGCACATTAACCCCTTCCCTCTCGCTCCCGACAAAATCACGAGGTGAGCTTTTGTTTTCTATTTCTCGTGCCCGTGATATTTCCAGGCTAGTGCATTCAAAAACAGTGCACCATAGAAGCTTAAATGTATCAATCTCTTGTACCCTTAATTTTTTTAATTTAGATATTTTACACACTAGATAGCTGCGCCAAGCTATTTTAAATGTAAAAATAGTTTATTTTAAACTAGATGTCAGTATTATCAGAATCTATGTATTTGTGATATGTATCTCGTACTCTTAGCTCAGCTATTTATCCTCTTTGTGAATACACTTGGTTTGTGTTCTATGATAAAATATTTTTTAATATTGTGTTCATTATGGAGTCAGAGTTACTTGGACACGTGAAGTACATACGGAGTTTTAAATTTTTTTTTTAATTTTAGGAGACGTAAAGGACATAATACAGGAAGCTATTGATGAGTACGAATCCAAGACTTGCCTCAGATTTAAAAAAAGAACAGCAACAACCAAAGATTACATCAAAATGACGATTGTCTCTGGGTAAATATACAAATGTCAGATATTTTTAGTACATAATACTTTTACCCTTCTGCAACGTAGTAAACAATCAAAAATTTCTGAATCTCAAAAAAAAAAAAAAGTTTTACATTGCTTTAAAATTTCTCCGCTACCGTCAGCACATTTTCATTTAAAAATTACCTGTCCTGCAACTGTTTGAATTGGTAAAGTCAGAAATAATAAATGGAATGCTGTATTACAAGTATTATTGAAGCTGCTAGTACGTTTTATTTAATTTTTTTATTAAAGATTAATATTTAGGAGTAATAAATATAATTATAATTCAAAGAACACTATTGCTTTTTTCAAATGTTACTAGATAAATTTTTTGAAATTCCTTCTGATGTTTATTTCCCTAGAATCTATTTTATTTTAATAATTTAAATGTTAGAGAAATTCAGGCTTTTTCATTAAATTCCTGCATTTATGAATTTAAAATAATCTACATATAAAAAAATAAATTAATCAAATGTGCAATGCCGTGTTTGAACGTTGGCGAAATAAAAAATATATATATTCTTGAGTATCATTGTAATGTGATTATCAATTCTTTACCACTTGAAAATAGAATCATTCACAAAAAGCTTTTAAGTTTACATATTAATAATATATACAAATATGCTTTAAAATTAATTAAGATGATTAATACTTCTCTTAAATGGGATGTGGCTATGATCTTGATTGATTATTGAAACGTGAAATTTCTTTACGTTAGTTTATTCGTTCGATTTTATTTCGAGTAAGACAAGCCCATCAAGTATCAGTTCTCTTAAGTGACACATTCTATATTCTTATACAAAGATTCTTTCACAAAGATTTTAATTCTTTCACTATATATTTCTTGCTTAACCCAAAGACAGGCATGAAGCCTTGTAGAACATGAACAAACTAATTATGCATCGAGTTTGCAGGTACACAAAACGAAAATATATGCCGGTCACGATAAAATACATAAACATATAATAAATCTAAGTTAAGTAAAAAAACGTAGATGAGAAATAATTAGATTTCAACATATTCGATGTGTGATACGGTGATGTATTTTATTAACTCTACGTTAGTTAACATTCTAAGTTACTCTGAAAACTTAGCTCAAATTTAATACACCATTTCCTTTATAAACGATCAGCTGGAGCTGATGTTATAGATCACATGTGAGGGTATTAGTGATCTTCTTCTTGAATTTCAAGTACCAAATTGTGATGTTTACTATCATCGCAAACCAACTTTAAAAAACAAAAACAAAATTTGTACAATTCAGAACACAGATAACAGTTCAGAAAATGCTGTAATTACTCTGTTAAATTATTACCTGTTGAATTTCTATATTTCACAATATTTTAATTACCTAAATATAAAAAAAAATAATTAATTTGTATTGTGCTAGTGCATTGATAACTAAAATGGAATCCAGCATAACTAAAAATAACTCTGACAAAGATCCAGCATTAGTTGGAATTGCATTATTTTTTTCCTCCTATTAACAGTTGTTGGTCATCTGTCGGACGTAAAGGAGGAGAACAGGAGTTATCTTTGAGCGAAGGATGCCATGACAAAGTATCTGCTGTCCATGAACTTGGACATGCCATCGGACTTTGGCATGAACACAGCAGATCTGACAGAGATGATTACTTAGAAATTTTGTGGGGAAATATTAAACCAGGTACGATCCAGTATACTTAATTAAAATTAATTACTGTTTCCAAAAATAGTGGGAACAGTACTTACTCTATTAGAAACTAAATCAAAAATAATATACAGTATGATTTAGCATAGCGATGACATATATAGAAGAGGGGCACATCATTGGGCATTAGTGTATACTTACTCTATATTTAACCAAATCAAGAAAAATATACGGTATGTTTCAGTATAGCGATTACAAACTTAGAAAGGACATATAGGGCACATTAAGAGATTAGTGAAATGGAAAGGAACTCACACGTGGAAATGTCATCATACTTTACGCTTAGAACGTTTCTCTATTATAAGCTTCCTGTGTGTCTGACATTCAACTGCATCAATTATTTGTCTAAATTACTTTATTTTTATGATTTCTAAAATTGCGGTAATGACATAAATATAGGCTCAGAAATTGCTGTTTTATCGTAATTTAATGATTTAGAGACTAACTCTGCGAGCTAGACAAATTAGGTTTGTTTTTGATACGGTACGATACGGCGATACGTTCGTAAATGCTGTACTGAATGATCATGTGAAAAGACAACATTATAAACATTATGTAAATACAATGGAAGCTATATGCATAACCACCAATAACTACCGAATGTTAATTGTTCCTACTGGTAGTATAGGCCATTGCGCCCTGAGTTTCCCGATTCATGTTTCAGTGTTCAGTGACAATAGCTTCAGAATCTATCCACTACCATCTGATCAACATTTTGAAGTATAACACGTAAAACCGAAATTTAATAACTTTTTGTGAAATTATGCGCGTTAAATGGGCTTCTTCGCGTTGACTCACGAGTAAAAATATTTCTCAAAAGAAAAAGCTATTCCCAGGCAATTATAAACAATTGAGTAAGTTTAAATCAAGAATTGAGATGATTATGTCGAACCATGTAAGTTAAATCAGATTTAATTGGGTACATGTAAGCGACGTCACGCGTTTGTGCCAAACCTGATTGGATTCTGAATCCATAAATGCCAGGATTCGTTTATGATGACGTCACTTGCAGGTATCCGATTGACTTTATTTTTCGCACTTATTTATTAAAAGAATCGTATCTCGTCAGTAACTATAAAAAGTTGAACAAAACTATAACTGCTAATTGAAATAGTATGTGTATTTCAAAGAAAGCTGCAAAATAAAATAATTCTGAAAATAAATTTTAAATTAAAAATATTCTCACTCATGCAGAGGTAAAGTAAAGCAGTTAAAAATATTTCTGAAAGCATTAGAAAACTCAAGACGAAAAATATATGATTGATTATAATTTTAAAAAAAAGGAAATGAAATAACATGTACCGATAGTACCTGTTTAAAATTTTCATTCACTTCATAAATATACAAATAGGAGCCGATATGTCTCAAGTGCTTCAAAAATGGGCACNTAGTGGACAACATATGCAAATTTTGCACGGTTTGGCTTACTTTTGAAAGAGTTATCGCTATTTTTGTGATTTTTCCTTAATTTATGATAACCAGTGTAGATTTTAGAGCTGAATAATTTGTTAGAACCAATTCTCTTTAGAATATGATTTTGAGGAATAGGAATTGGTTCAAAAAAAGTTTAAACTAACAGATTCACTTATAGAAGTTTCTGTTTGAGACGGTATACACTCCGAGTACGGCTATAGCCCTCATCTGCCTACATCAGATAGCCTCCACACAGTTTCTTATAAGTAGTCTGCGCAGACTATTTAAAAAGTGAACCAGTAGTGCGCATGAACCCAAATTCAATTTTTAAAGTACCGATATAAATTATGTGTCACGATGTTCCTTGCCCGTAGGGCTATCTACACCTTCATCTAAGAAAATTAATTGAGTAAAAGTAAATGATTAAAAGTACTTGAGATAAATTCCTCATATATATTTGAGAATTGAATTTGTGGTGGTAGACAAGTAAATAAGACAAACCAATCATATTCATAAATTAAAGAAATTTTTAGAGATATATTTGCTACCATTTTCTCAATTTTACTGGATTTTGTAATCAGTATCTCTTTTGTAAACTGGCGTACATTCATAATAATTCGATTGGACTACTTATAAAAACAGTGTGGAGGCTATAGCCGTCATTGCGGGAACGTGTTCACGATACGCCCATACAGTGTGACACACTGTATCACAATCTGAGTTTCCGATTCCCGTTTAGTTGTGGTAGTTCAGTCACATTTGCTTTCAGAATCCACTACCTTCAGATCAACATTTCTGAAATATAACTCGTAAAATCGAAATTTAATAATTTTTTGTGAAATTATACGCGTTAAATAGGCTTTTTCGCGTTGATTCATCAGTAAAATTATTTCACAAAAGAAAAAAAAGCTATTCCCAGTTATTTATAAGCAACTAAGTACTTTCAAATCGAGAAGTGAAGTGATTATGTCGAACTATGTGAGTTAAATCAGATTTAATTGGATACATGTAAGCGACGTCACGCGTGTGTGCCGAACCTGATTTGATGACGTCACTTGATTGACTTTATTTTTCGCACTTATTTATTAAAAGAATCGTGTCTCGATAGTAACTATAAAAAGTGGAACAAAATTTTAACTGCAATTTGAAATAGTACAAAAAAAGCTGTTAAATCCTAAAAACAAAATGATTCAGAAAAAGAATTTTAAATTAAAAATATTCTCACTCATACAGAGGTAAAATAAAACAGTTGAAAATATTTCTGAAAACGTTAGAAAACTCAAGACGAAGAATATATTATTGATTATCATAAAAAAAGGAAATGAAATAATAAGAAATAATAGGTACCGATAGTACCTGATTAAAATCTTCATTCACTTCACAAATACACAAATAGGAAATAAGAACTGATATATTTCAAGTGCTTCAAAAATGGGCACCCATTTTCAAGACTTGCTAGACTTATTTATTTAATGTACTTATAGTATCAGAAATTGTTGAAACTTTCATTTTTTTTCAAAGGTTCCGAGCACAACTTTTTGAAATTGAAACCCTGGGAGAATAATCTGTTGGGAGAGAAGCTTGATTACAAGTCCATCATGTTGTACGGAGAATACGCATTTGCCAAAGACCGAAAATCAATGACAATGAGGCCACGAGAAGAAGGTGCCGTCATTGGACTTATCAATAACAAACCTGGACTCAGTGATAGCGATGTTAGACGAATCAACCGATTGTATGAGTGCAACGGTATGTATAATAATGGTGTTCCCAATATAAATGTAAACTTCCGATAAACTACTTCTGACTAGAAAGTACACAAATATGCCTTCTCGGAAAACCTTTCTATGAAACTAACCCACGTTTGTGTTATATGGAGAAAGAAACCACTGAAATTTCTCACGGTTAGAATGACAGCAAAGGAGCTCTAACCCCTGATCTGTCTACCATTGAGGACATTTCACGTCAGCACTGTGGTCAGTGCAAGCCGGGTGTGGAATTCGAATCGACCAATCATCGCTTGGTTTCGCTCTAACTCCTGAACCACCACGGCTCAATTAAGCATCATTGACTACAATAATCGTTTGTCGATATTTTACGCTCTCTTAAGCGAATTAGTATCATTTTTCTATTAATTAATTGTGTTTTAGTACACAACTTATTTTTTTTCTTAATTTCAATTACCGCTGATTTTAAATTATTCAGTTTTGTAGTAACACGTTCTCAAAGAATAACTATAAACAAAATAAACACATGGTTTCAGATAAACTTATAAATGTTATTTTGGTGACGTAATTCGCCCATTCAACCACGATCATGTTGATCGCTCAAATAACCTGGCATAACGAATAAAAAATTATTAAGTGTTACAAAACATACAATAAACATCCTTTTTGATTAGATCTATAATCTGGCAAATATCACTGTTGTTATCTTTAAAATATTTGACGATACTGAATCGCCTATAATTTATTTTAAAACAATGGATTCGGCTAACCAATGGGAAAATTCCATTTTCTAAATGTCTCTGTATTAAAAATATAATTTTTAAAAAATCAAAAATCGGCCTTCGTAATTTGTTTACAATTGTACTCATTTCCCTTGGTGTTGAATGTCGTATTTTTAGAGCTTACAGTAAACCTGCAATCCGGTATACAACACACATAAATACCCAAATTCCTTATTTTATTACATGTATGGATTAAGCAAAATAGTCTTTTAGAACTTTAAATTAAACGAGAGATTAGCTGTACTTGAACTAATTTAAAAAGTTAACTCGAAAGATTGGTTTGTTTAACACCGAATATAATCTCTTTAATTGTCGCCACACAATTGAAAGTCAAGATTTACCACAATCAAGTAGTTATTCCCATGCATCGACATTTCAGTATATGGCACTTTTTTTATTATCTTTAAGTTATTTAGGTTTGTAGAAATACGTTTTCATAAGAGTAACTATGAGGAAAATGAACGCAATACTAATTCAGTGGCACCGATCCCATGTGCCCCACTCCCTTTGGTTTTACTTGAAGAAAAAATATCAAACAAAAAAAAATAATAACGAATTAGGAAATAAAATCCCAGTGAAACTCTTTTTTGAATAAATAGAGCTGTAAACTAATAAACATGTCTGGTGTTATCTTGTAAATAATTGTGAGAAAAAAATTAAAATTTCATTCATAAGTGCATTTAAATTTTTTTTTCCTTTTAGGAGAAAAACGACCACCACCCCCTGAAGTGCCCGATTTCAAATGTGATTTTGAAACTGACATGTGTGACATGGTTAATGCTGAAAACAATGGAAAGGCAGAATGGAGAATAGAGAAAGGAACATTAGGAGGCCGAGACGGTAAAACTCGCCAATAGACATAAAATGCTTACATAGCTTGTACTATATTAGGAAATATTTTTAAAGGGCTTTTAAAACAATAATAAAAATAGAAAGAATTTTCTAAAAAGCAAGCTACTTCGCACTATACGAAAACATATTAGATCTACCGGAAAGTTCTGTCTTCGAAAGTAAACGATTTTTTACTTTAATGTAAAAGTTCTTTTGAAACGAGAGTGAAAATGATAAGCGTTTGTAGTCAAATTTTTTTAATATTTAAAAAAGTACTCCAATGCAGCATTACCTGGGCTCATAAAAATGCGCAAAAAATGAGAATAAGGCAGTGATTTTGATAATTTTCATCTAGGTGGAAAAATGTCCCCAAATTAGCAAGTTTTAAAAAAGTTTATTAACTTTTAAAATATTTAAATAGGGCCAGGATAGCCTGGTTGGTAGGATGCTGGACTCACGTTCGTGAGAACGGAAGTTTAAATCCAGCTGACCGAAGACTCTCCGTGTAGTAAATGGTGACTGGTGAACAGTAAATCTGTAGGGTCACAAAGTTCTCCATGTTTTCATAATAAATTATACATCTGTAGGAAATTGTTTGTTCTCTTATTCAGGTCGAAATTACGATCTGTGGAAGAATGAATGGTTGCATGAAAGGGTCCGTTCTATAAACGCGTGTGACGTATGGGTGTGGCAGAAGTAAAATTCTGGGCCTAAGATTGTGCCACTAGAAAACAAGAACAATCACACCCTTTGCCTTAAGGTCTCATGACAACAACAACAAAATAGTTAAGTTTTTTCTCTGTTTCAAAACTCAGAAAATTCTTCACATTAAGATAATATATATAGTTTAAAATCAAAGCACAGCTTTTTTTTAAGTGTAAGGCATATAAACTACGCCTTTTTTTTAAAGCTTATATAAGTCTTTACATCAAGATAGTCATAGTAGTTTGAAATTAAAGTTTTGCTTCGAGTTTAAGTCCCTTTAACTATTGTTTTTTTTAAATTCCTTGGCCAAAAATGTTTGAAAAATACTCTTCAAATGATTACCATTAAGAGTAAACAGAAATTCATTTAATTTTGTTTGCAGGTAGCTATGTTTATGTGAAGGCTTCTGAAGCCTCTTACCGAAAAGTGCGCTTAATCACACCATTTTTTGGTGCCTTTGGTCGGAAGAAAGGTTGTTTCAAGTTTGATGTCTACTTCAATGGAGGTGGTGTTGTTTCCTTGGATGTATCAGTGCACAACATCAATACTTCCAACCTTGTTGTGAAGCACGTGGACAAAAAGGACGAGTGGCAAAGTGTACAAATCAACGTAAATCTAGAAGGAGATGTGAAAGTAAGTTACTATTCGTATACAGAATGTAAGCATTTTACTATTCATAGACAGGGTGGCCACAACCGATAAAAATATAAAAAATGGTAGAGAAAAAGTGATTAAAAAAGTAGCTTTTTCTAATTTCTCTCGACCAAAATGCATTTATAATTTAATGTAAATATATCTGTAAGTTAAATCTAGCCAACTTAATTAGCCGCTATCCACGCACTGACCTGTGTAAACGAGCACCGTATTTAGCCGGCATTCACGCAATGACCTGTGTGAACGAGCGCCGTATTTAGATGGCATCCACGCAATGACCTGTGTGAACGAGCGCCGTATTTAGCCGGCATTCACGCAATTACCTGTGTGTACGAGCGCTGTATTTAGATGACATCCACGCAATGACCTGTGTGAACGAGCGCCGTATTTAGCCGCTATCCACGCAATGACCTGTGCGAACGAGCACCGTATTTAACCGGCATCCACGCAATGACCAGTGTGCATGAGCGCTGTATTTAGATGGCATCCACACAATGACCAGTGTGCATGAGCGCTGTATTTAGATGGCATCCACACAATGACTTGAGTGTAAAAGCACCATAATAAGCCTGAATCCATGAGATGACCCATGTGAATGAGCGAATATGAGCTTTATAAAAATATTTTCGCTTATTTTTGCAAAAATTAATGGAAAAAGAGGGGAGAAATATGCTTAACAAAAATTCTGCGTCAAAGGGTTTAAATCTTAAAATTTATTCTTTTCAATTTCTCCTTGTAATTAAACTTTATTCAACGGCTGAAGAGGGTCGGATAACCTGGTTGGTTAGGCATTGGTTCCATGTCCAAGAAGATATGAGTTTGATCCCCGCCGGCTGAAGTCTCCTCGTGTAGTAAGGGGGCACTGGTGCATGTTAAATCCATCGGGTCACAAAGCCCTCCGTGTTCCCATAACAAATCATACCTCAGAGGGTACTGAATTAAAGACTGATCGTTCTCTGGTTCAGCTCAAAATTACGATCTGAGGATGAATGAATGGATGTATGAATGGGTCCACCCTATAAACGGGTTGTGACGCGTGTGTTGCTGATGTCGTATCCTTGGACTTAAATGGCTCCACTGAAAAACAAGAAACGCACCCTCTGCCTAAAATTCGCTCGGTTGCCTGTTCGGTTTCACCAAACAGGCTTGCTGATATTCGAAAGTGACATTAGAAACAACAACAACTAAAACGAAAGATATCTAGAATGATCATTCCTAATTATTTGTGTAATTTTTCCTCTGTTTTTCTAGTTTTCCTTAGATGCCAAAACTCGGAAATCTGATGGAGAAGGAATCATCGCCTTAGATAACATCGTATACCAACTGAGAGAATGTTAAGAAAAAGAACGTCTTAAAACAAAATGTTCGAAAATAAAATCTAAAAATATATTGTGGTTATATTTATTCACTGAAAACTATTCTAACAATTCATTAGCATTAAGCTAAGAAATTTATTTTTGTTTATCATCATTAATTACGTTTTATCGAGATAAATGATATGGAATACTTCCAAATTATGAAATTGCCCTGCAATGGAACGTGAGCCAAAAAATATTAAGAATGGTGACCAACAGGAAGTAATAAATAAAAAAAATAAAAATTATTAAGATATCTTTGCTTATTTCTGTCAGTTTATTATAAAAATTAAATAATTTGGAAATTTTCTTTAAAACATTATTGTTGATAAATGGTGGTACTGAAAAATGAATAGTTAAATTAAGAGAAATGATTTTAATAAAACGTACATTTTTTTTGTTTACATTTTTGGATCACACTGGCGAGGCGAGACATGATGCATATGTTTCAGCTTAACGTAATAATTTTAAAACTTTAAAAATGCATACAAATAATAAAATTAAAAGCATTCAAACCAACAATCTTTTATTAATTAAGCCCTTCCATGCCGATTTATTCAACCCACTAATTCCCAGCCTCTGAAAAATATCAAAACTGCTAGTTCCATGCTTTTTCGGAAAATAATTTCTAGTAATAGTTATGTTTATATTTTAAAGTGAGATTCTGTGTTTTATAAATGGGGTTTAAAGTCATTTTCCAGACTTTTACATGAAAATGATTCAAAATTTCAAATGAAACGCTACCTTGTCCCAGCTCTATCGTAATAAAGCTTTTAAAATGTTGGCAAAAATTCGGTAAGCTTTAGTTTTTAATTGTACACCACTCTGTAAAATATTTTTCAAAAAGTATAGTACCGTAAACCGGGGCGAGTCTACCCATTTTTTCAGTTTGTCAACTTTCAAGTGGTCAAACTTTTGTAAATATTAAAGAAAAAAGGCTTTTAATAGGTGTTTCGGAATCGCTATTTATCCCTCTTTAAAGCTGTGAAATCGATTTTAGAAAATATTAACAGTTACGCTGTTACTGTATATTTTTATAGAACTGCTGACAAATCTCTCGTATGGGGCGAGTCTACCCATTCTACTAAAATGAATGTTAACATTGTAAATAATCAAATTTTACTATTAAATTGTTATTTTAGTTACTATATAGGATATTTATGAAGTAAAATTCATAACTTTATTATATATTCCATTTTTTTATTCATAAAATAACACAAATTGAGTATTTGATCGATTATCACATTTTGATCACAGTTTTGTTTTTATAATCATTAACATTATAAAATAACTCTTCTGGTTCCCGATGACAATATTTTGAAAGAGTTTTTCTCGTTATTTTCAATTCGGCTGCGGCATCTTGAATTGTTATTTGTTTGGCTTTTATCCTTTGGATAGCTTTTTCCATCTCAGGTGGCATTTTTTTGTAACATTTAAATCCATTTGTTTTGCGAATATAATTTCGAACCATCTGTAATAATAAATAATAATTTATTTAACTTGCATTAAATAAAAAAAGTTAATTTTGTAATATAAAAATTGAAAAAATAGGTAAAATAAACATATTTTATATTTACATTTATATTTAACCTATAAATTTTCTTATTAATGATAAATTTATCAATGCAGAATTAAAATAATATACTCAAATTCATTTAAAATGACTTAATTTTAATATAAACAAAGTTCTAAATTATATTATTATGCTTTATTAAAACTAAATACGAATGGATAGACTCGCCCGGCGAATTCTGGCTTTTTGTTTTCAACAGCAAAACTTACATTCTTTTTGTTTTTTCATATAAAATTAATGTAATCTTAGTCTTAGATAAGTTTATCACTTAACCAAAGTGAAAATAGTTATAATAATAATAATATACTTACGGAGCACCAACTAAAAGTTTGCTGATTTTCAATACAAATCTCTCAAAAGACGATTGAACAGGTCGGTTAAAAAGACACCAAATAAATAAAAACGGATCAAACTACTACTGCGCCATCTTCCTTAGAGTCTGAACTAAGTCCTCCGTCGGTAGAAAATTTTTTATTTGCAATTTAAAATAGTGAAAATTAAATAAGACTGAAATGGGTAGACTCGCCCCGGTTAACGGTAGTTGAATATTTGTGAATGGTTAAATGGGAAAAAAAATGCAGTACATATTTTTTAAACTAATTGGATATTTCTTTCCGTTATCTTCCAGTATAATTTCATAACAGCGTTGTGCTTCATCTTGAGATACAAATGCTAATTCTCAGGTGCTGGATGGGGCCAAAAGTGATTTGACCTTTCAGTTGCAGCAAACAAGCATTAAACATCCTGGTAGCATGACCAACAAAAGGTAGCATTTAAGAAAAACTAAAATTTATTTTAACATTTAAAGATGCAAAGATAAAATTTAAAACAGATACATTCTTATTAAACACGTTCACGCCGGAATGCTGGTACTGGAAAAGAGTAAATACTGGTAGAAGAACTATTTCAATATAAGATAATATTCGGGAGGAGTTAATCTATTCTCAACAATAACAATTCACTGTAAGGAAATTTAACACGGCGAAGAAGCAATTCAATATAAAAATTGCATCCGTTAAAAACAATTGGTAGTTATGGATTTTTATTATTCCCGGAAAAAAATTAAAAAATTTAATTTATTGTTACCAGTTTTTACTCCGGTGCGCTGCCAAGATGAGACAATCTAGCGTGACCCACCGGTGGGTCACCACGGCGTGAACGTGTTTAAGTTAAGGAAGTCATCAAATATCTACATCTTTCAGCTTCTTGCTAACGATTCAGTGTTCTTACTTTGTTTCAGTGGCTTTCAGTGAAATATTGAAATTTCAAATCAAAAGATGTCTTGAGATACATTTAAACGTTTTTCCTAAGAAAAAAAAAACAGTATTTAAAAATTATCCTATACAATGAGTTTTAAAGAAATTATGACTAATTAAAATATAAAAAATGTAAATATAGTAATTTGAAAACAAAACAATGAAATTAGTTTTGATGAAATTATACGAAAATAATAAATGTTACACAAGGACTACTGATTACATTTTAGTTCACCTAATGCAGTACGCAATTATATTATAGGACAATGATAAGTCGCATTTTCAGTATTTTTATTAAGTATATACATGTATTACGCTTTCGTGCCGAGTTTATATTTCAGGACCATAATGTCTGAAATAAATTCTATTTAAATTTTGATTCATCGGAATTTTATTTGCAGTCGTTTTCAATACTCTTTTTGCATAATGATGATTCCGTTATAATTTTCATTAAGCATTAATTAAGAAAAAGGACTAAATAAATGAAATTATTTGCAAAATGTACATGGAGCTGAAGCTCCTGGAGACTCATTTTCACAGATTCATTTTCAAAATACAAGTGCACACTTTTTTCACATGCAGCATATAGTTATTATCTCTTTCATGTCATCTGATACATATAATATTCAGACGTTTTTCTTAGGGCTGACGCCGTAAGAAGTAATCATAGACCTAATAAAGTTGCATTGAAATCTCAAAATGCTTATTAAATTGAATGATATTTCGGTTTCATGAAGACATTTTACTGCGCAATATGGATTCATTTTATAAATAAACATTGCATTTCTAATTAATTAATGATAATTTATACGCGAAATGAATCTTTTATTATGTGAAAGAGATTATTGAATGTTCTCAATTGTTAAGAAGGGCTAATCTACAATTTAAAATATTATTTTTTTTTAAGATTTAGTTTTAAGATCCCTTAATTCTATTAAGCTACTATTTTAGATGTCACACCCACACACCACTATATATCGAGATAAATGATATG